CTCTTTCACACAGACAAAAGTGTCACGTAAGCAAGTTTATATTCCCTTAGCATACATACCTTGAGATGTGTTGGCTTTCGAACTGATGATGAGAAGTAATGACGCTTCACCTTAGTCCATCGCCGTTCACCATATCTCCTAACACCCCTAATCAGCTTCTTCACTTCTTCAAGTGTCCAGTGTTCATTGTTTTTTCGACTGTGCAATTTCTTGCCTCTACTTTCCGAAGGAAATATCCTCCTCTTGCGAGGACCTTGTGGGGCACACCTCCCATTTTTGTTTAATATGAATTCTAAACACCAAACATTCATGCATTAGCTTGAGAATATACAAAAATGTATCTGTTCACATGTGTATAGATAAGATGGAACAATCAGACATGGTACCTCCCAAATATTGCTGGTGGCACTGCCCATCTTCGGGCTCTTGTGCAAATTTGTTGATTTCCATGTCATCATCGCCATACACATAACTGAAGTATTCTTCCACCTATCATGAATAAGAATAAAAATATCTTGATTTTTGGTTGTGCTGACGCAGATGGTTGGATGCTTTGCAGGAGTGTGGTGCCAGATAGATTTCAAATGCGAAACGCCGTGTGTCTGTCTCCCCATTTGTTTGTGGCCTCGGCAGATGATGGGCTTAGTTGATGTCTTAGGCCATGTTCGGAGTCACTCCAACTCCTAAAAATACGAGGAGCTTGAGCATCTCTTTCTCAGCTCCATGCCTTGTGACTCCAACTCCAGGAGCGGAGTGATGGAGCGGCGAGTCTCCGAACAGGGCCTTAGTGTAATGTTCACTACTCTTGGTTTGTAGGATGGGAGCTAGCTGATCAAGAATGAAACGTGAGGGCAGAGTAAATGTAGTATATATACTCGTACCTGGCTTGGACGAGGAATAGTAACAGAAGATGGAAGCCAATCAAGCGGATCCGCCAAGATGGCCTCCCAAATCTCCACTTGGTCCGCTGGCTTCATTGTGTGTATGGATCTGCAGCAGCAGATGACATGAGCACAAAGTCAGGACTCACGACTAAAAACATTAGCAAATACTCCCTTCGTTTCTAAATATTTGTCTTTTTAAAGATTTCAACAAATGACTACATACAAAGCTAAATGAGTGAATCTATACTCTAAAATATGTCTATATACATCCGTATGTGATAGTTCATTTGAAACTCTAGAAAGACAAATATTTAGGAATGAAGGGAGTAACAAGCAGACTAGCTATAACTTGGTGCTAGAGGTAGCTCATGAATGAATGAACTAATCGGCCATGAGAGGGCGTGTTGCACTTGATCGATGATGACTAGATCATGCAGAGATCTGCAGAAATCATACACACGTATATGCGTGCTAGCGCTCGTATACTACAACCTACGCACATGCATGCAGAGTTCTCAAACCAAGGCCGCGCTTGGGACATCGGTTAGATTTTCCACCTGTAGACAGTTACCGCTGTACGTATATTACTGGACGGACGCCAGTAAAATACACCCCCCGTATCTTTTCCCCGTCCGATCGCGGAGTGTAACCAAGCCGTGAACTGCGGAGTGTCAACACCACGCCCAGCGCTCTCTGGCGAGCAGCACCTCCTGTCCGTCCACTACTCCACCACCAGCAGTGCCACCCGATCGCACACGACTGCCAAGAAGGACGCCGCGACGTACGGGCACGCTGGCCGCCCGCGCCACCCAAGGCAAGGCAGGAGAGAGTCGCACACCGCAGGCGTCTCCGACGGGAGGAGCTCCCACAGCGTCTGGGACACCACACCACGCCCCTTCCAACAGGGAGAAGCACTTGGTGTCCAAGCCGGCCCGACACGGCATCGAAGCCGCCGGAGAGGCGGTGATGGCAGCCATGCGGAGGCGCGCAGGTTGGCAGAAACCGTGCGTGGAGCGGAGGCCAGTCTCAACGCTGGACTAAGACTCGCTCGCCACGCGCTCCGGACAGAAATATGTTCCAATCCATATTAAACGATGAACCAAGCGCGCCCTGGGGTTACCCGGCCAGTGGAGAGGGGTGGTGCGCGTGCTGTAGTTCGGCAACAGGAGACGAGGGATGCGATGGAGAACCGTCCAGCACGGCCGGTGTCGTCGAGGCAGGGGCGCCGGGCGCGGACAGGATGAAGAAGAATAGAAGCACTTAAGTGGTGGAGTACCTAGCTAGCTCCAGCGCGTGTTCTTTACTCGCATCTCTATTATTAAAGGAGGAGTTGATATAGTCGTCTTTCTTTTTTTTCTGGTCTTTTCGTCCTCACGGTCCCATCCCTTTTACTTTTCTGTTGAATTTTCTTAACCCAATCAATTTTTGCATAAAATAAAAACCAATATAAATATCTACTATTAACGGGTTTTAAAGCGGAGTTAGTATAGTCGATTCCCCTCATTCCTGATCTTTTCCTCCCCCACGTTCTCATTTCTTTTCCCCTATTATTAAAGGTGGATGTAAGTTATATGTCGGACAATATTGATACTCCGGGTTTGGGAGGTTCTCTTATTTTGAGCTAAAGTTTGACATATAAATTTAACTAATAAAATATAAATTATGTGCCACAAAGATTATGCTGTCGGAAAGCTCTTTCGTATACAAGTTTAACATCATACTTTTTGTAGCATATATTATGTATTTTATTAGTTAAATAAGTGGTCAAAATCTAAGCCAAAATATGGAAGGGCCCAATAAAAACCACGATAGTATTATTTAATTAAGTTGAAATCCCTGCTCTTGGCTGCTCGCGTGGGGGTACATTCTTCATGTCGTTCTCAACCAGCCAAAGGACCCACGAAGTCTTTTTTTTTTTTGCCCCCTGCCTTTTCTTTTCTTATGGAATCTAAAGTTGTGGGTTCTTGCAAACATGTATGCTATAGCAACGATCAACACATGGTGTGAATTCATGGGTATTATCATATTTCTTCTGGACTCTCAGTACAAACACTACAAACTTTACGTTAAATGAAAAAAAAAACTATCATGCTGAACATCTTTTTAGAAGATAAACTCTTCATTAAAAATGTATTAACAAGTTAACTACTAATAGTTAGAAGTTTGAAATCATGATCTAGTTCTGACGGATGTAATTAATCCTACTTAGAAATAGATGGATGATTGTCACATCAATGATGTCACATAATGACTTGAGTTATTGACTATGACTAGATTCCACTTAGCTTGTTGGAAGTTTGGTATCAAATCAGAAACATAAAGCACGCACGTATTGGGGTCACGAACTTTTCAATCTAGTTTCACAATTATTATTATTTGCTTTACAACTTACAAGTGGCCGGATATATATATGCGCTGACATAAAGATGTAACGATTTGGTCGTGGAATAAATCTTAGTGAATCATCTATCTTTCCATAGATTTGTGGGCACGGGAACATGGCCACTTCGCTGTCACCAACTCACATCGTCTTGCTCTTTATTCTCGTCACCGTCGTCCTTGTATCTCCCGTCATTTTCTTCGTAGCTAGCTAGGGTGATCCGAGTTCACATTTTAAACAGGACCTAGACCATTGTGATTTTTTATTTATGATATGAAACTATGTTTGTCCAGAATTAATTATGCACTCGTGGTATTATGTTTATGACTGATCTAAGACTTAGTATAGTTTGCAGTTATGGAATTCATTTAGCCTCAGCTTATGGTTCTCGATTGAACTGTGTTGTGTTGTCCTTCCTTCCTTCATGCTTTTTGGTTTGCAATGTTTCATGTATTTCCCCACAAAAAAAAGGTTTTGTGTTTAGCCCCTTGTCTCTTTGCGGTTGGTGTTGCTTTTCGTGGGTGTTGCTTTCCGAGAAGGGAGATCCGTCTTCCTCTGTCGTTCACTCAAGTGATCAATCACTTCTCATCGACCCCCTAGCACCTTCGTGGGTCGACGAAAAATGATCGATTACTTGAGGGAACCCCTAGCACCTTCGTGGGCCCTAGCTCGGGAACTTTGTATCTTCTTTTCTTCTATCAATGAATGGTACACAGCCTTTGTATATTTATGAAAAAGATTGGTACAGGTAAGGTAATTAGCATGTACGCGCCGGTGCTCTCTTGGATGGCCGTTGATCGATCCAGCCTTGTTCCTAAACTGCAGGACCGTACGAACGAGGTAGCTACCACTGCAGCAGACGAGAGAAGCCACCTACACGGGTTGGATGGAGTGGGTAAGTGGAGGGCCCGACGGGTGCCTTTATTTATATGCATGGTGCGGCCAAGCAGCTTCCGCGAAGCATCCTCGTGTCCCAAGCATGTGTAGATGCACAGCGGCAGGCCAGGGGCACTACGTCTGCCCTGATTCTGTTTCTCGAAGACGACCACGACCACGACGGAGAACCCATTCCTCGTGCGCGCGCGTGTGTGGACTGTGGAGATGTGAACTCACTTGAAACCAAGTAGCTGCACCCACATCAGTACTGTATATGATTGACTAGCGCTAAGCACGCGAGAATTAGTTAAATTGATAATGATGGGTTGTACGTGTGACGTCACACCAGTACGGCTTCTCAGATGCTTTTGTGTTTTCATGATGTGACACGAAACCTAATTCTATAAGAACGACCGAGTCAACCGTGTGATGTGGTCCATGGAACATTCAACAACAGTTGAAACATGGACTCATTTTACCTAGGTTGGGATCAACTAGCTGCATCCGCGTAAAGCATCTACGCAAATCTAATACTAGCTCCGTCCTATATTACATGGGACGGAGAGATAGGAAACTTCAATCCAATGCATGTTCACCCGCATCTACTCAGACTCAGTTACAAAACCTAATGAGATATAGGTCACATGACATGACAACAGAATAATTCTTATGTCATTTTCCAACCTCTAGGTGGGTCCAAAAAATTGCCGAACTTAAAGTGATGCTACAATCAAAATTAGAGATCCTCACAGCATGAGCTTTTTCTAAGAACCATCCGTCCAACATAAACTTCATTGGTAGCGACGACAACACACGACAACTGTCGATTGCCAAGTAAATGGTACGGCACCGCTCACCGTCTATGACTGAGCAACCTCTTGCTTTGACTCCCCAGGGACAAGTCCGCGTATCTTCACATCATAAAATACTTCCTCCACCCTTCTCAAATCATACTTCATCCCTGCAAACACAAGTACAAAAACAGAGGGGGAAACACAGCTGAATCAATACAGATTACAACAACAACAACAACAACAACAACGAGGCATGGCAAAATATTACGGTAAGCGCTTTGAGCCCTTATCTTTTTGCATTGGTGATGGATGAGGTCACAAGGGATATACAAGGAGATATGCCATGGTGTATGCTCTTTGCGGATGATGTGGTGCTAGTTGACGATAGTCGGGCGGGGGTAAATAGGAAGTTAGAGTTATGGAGACAAACCTTGGAATCGAAAGGGTTTAGGCTTAGTAGGACTAAAACCGAGTACATGATGTGCGGTTTTAGTACTACTAGGTGTGAGGAGGAGGAGGTTAGCCTTGATGGTCAGGTGGTACCTCGGAAGGACACCTTTCGGTATTTGGGGTCAATGCTGCAGGAGGATGGGGGTATTGATGAAGATGTGAACCATCGGATCAAAGCCGGATGGATGAAGTGGCGCCAAGCTTCTGGCATTCTCTGTGACAAGAGAGTGCCACAAAAGCTAAAAGGCAAGTTCTACAGGACGGCGGTTCGACCCGCAATGTTGTATGGCGCTGAGTGTTGGCCGACTAAAAGGCGACATGTTCAACAGTTAGGTGTGGCGGAGATGCGTATGTTGAGATGGATGTGTGGCCACACGAGGAAGGATCGAGTCCGGAATGATGATATACGAGATAGAGTTGGGGTAGCACCAATTGAAGAGAAGCTTGTCCAACATCGTCTGAGATGGTTTGGGCATATCCAGCGCAGGCCTCCAGAAGCTCCAGTGCATAGCGGATGGCTAAAGCGTGCGGAGAATGTCAAGAGAGGGCGGGGTAGACCGAATTTAACATGGGAGGAGTCAGTTAAGAGAGACCTGAAGGATTGGGGTATCACCAAAGAGCTAGCTATGGACAGGGGTGCATGAAAGCTTGCTATCCATGTGCCAGAGCCATGAGTTGGTTGCGAGATCTTATGGGTTTCACCTCTAGCCTACCCCAACTTGCTTGGGACTAAAGGCTTTGTTGTTGTTGTTGTTGTTGTTTAAGCTGAAATAATACTGCCAAAAGCTAGTTGAGTTCTTTTAAAAAGGAACATGTCCAGTGAACCATAAGCTGGGGAACTCACCATCAAATTTCTTACGCAAGAAGTCATTGCGCAGATTCAGCATCCTAAATGAAGCATGCAGATCAGTCAAAAAGCTTAGCACCTTCCGTGGGCAGTCGTAGTCACCCGCCGTGACCCGATTCACTACATATCTAGGCTGTAGACAATTCAGCAAGCAGCCATTAATACAAGTCATAGCTATAGAGCATTACAATTCTATTCAGTACACATCTAGGCTGTAGAAAATTCAGCAAGCAGTCACTCATATCAATATTGGTTGTTGAGCACTTTCGTTTCATTTCATATTAAGGATGTACTCCCTCCGTTAAGTCGGCGACAATTAATATGGATCGGAGTTGTACTAAGTCAGCAACAGTTAATATGGATCGGAGGGAGCAGAAGATTCCACAAGCAGCAATTAGTACCACTCATTGGCTGTAGAGAATTGCAATTATATCCACTAAGCATCTATCTAGGCTGTAAAAAAATCAGCAAGCAGTCACTGTACCACTCATTAGCTCTGCAGCATTAGAATTCTTGCTTAACATACATCCAAGGAAATAACCATATAAATAGTAAATTCAAGACTTCAGAATGCAGATGGTATTATGTAATGTTTGCATTTTGCAGATATGCCCAGCTTGGTCTAATCCATTCATTTACGAAGTGTGCTACACACTAAAGTCCATCTCAAGTTTATATGCTTGACACTTGTACGTAAATCATTCATGAAGAAAAATAGTTCAGTCCGTCTCAGGTTTATATGCTCGACACTTGTACATGAAACATTGATAAAGAATTATAGTTCACAGTCCAGCCCAAGTGTAAATTGTTTGTACTTATATGTAGTTGTTTTAGCATGCACTCATAAGTTCATAAGTTCATAAGATACAACATGGATCCGACCTTAATACCAACCAAAAATTTGAAGTCAATCTCCATATTCTAATTTATTGGCTTTGGTTCTTTAGCTTTCTACATTCCAATAAAGGGGTATATATAGTATAGGTATATCCTATTCCTGAACACTCACATGTTGAAAACAATCTACATATTATAATGCATTGACTTCGGCTCTTCAACCTTCTAGTATTTATATAGTACTTACGTCTTACAAATCTTATAAAGAAACAAGTCGGTGATGATGGACCATTCAACTTCTGTAATACCAACCAACCGCCTTGGTACGAACGACTGAGAATGGGAAGTGGTTGCTCACTAGTCACTACCCACCTAATTCTGTTTCATAAAACACCCCAATCTACCATGAGTTTTGCAGATTTTAATAAAGTAATTAGCTTGTAAACATAAAGTATGGTTATCCTTCATCCCATAGCAAAGCATGAGTTTCTTGCTAGTATGTAATAGAAGTACAAGTTTAACGAGATTTCTCTCTCATGGTCGACCATTTCGCGTTGTTGATCCGACCGAGGAACCACATGCCCATCAACACCCCCTCAGGAGATATCTACACCACAGACCCCATCCACGACCTGTACTAAAATCACTAATCCCATGATCATATTTCTCCCCTGCACCCACGATCTGTTTATTTTGTTGGCAAAAGATTCCTGCATTATGTTAAGAGCTCGATGCATGGGGCTAAACAAGCCACAAAGAAGAGGAGAACCTGGAAACCTAAGACAAACACAAAAGAAACAAAGGTTAAAGGGCTGCCCTACAAGGATACGTGCACATACGGGTCCTTACGAACCATCCAGAATGCCACGCAAACCAGAGCTTCACCGCTGACTGGAATAGGGTTCACCATAGGAAAAACCAGAGCTTCACCCTGACTGGAACAGGGTTCACCATAGGCAAAACCAGAGCTTCAATCGCCACCAGCTTCACAGAAAAGCAGCCAGACCAAGGGCCTCTCTCGGAACCGCAGAGGAACCAGAGGTTGAGGAAGTTACTGACGCCCTTGAATCTGGGGAGCCGCATGCGCCAGGCAACAAAGCTGCACCACAAGAATGGTAGAAGGTCCCCAACCAGGAGGCCAAGCAGCCATCGACCATACCGCAGAGTCGTCAATCCCATAACCACATTGCAGGCGTCCAAAGGGGAGGTTGAAAAAAGAAACACCAACCGAGAGGCAAGATCAATGAAGAAGACCAGTCTCACACCCATGCAAGAGTAGATAAAGAAAACCATCACCGGCAAGAAATGGAGCAGACACCAAGATACAGAAGGAACACTTCATCAGCTCCAAACGGACACGCTTGAGCTCCATGGAGAACGGAGATGAAGCAGCACACATAGGGCGCTCCACAGCGGCTGAGCAGGGACAATGCGGTGGTGGACATCGCTGGCGGCTGTGCAACCAGAAAGACACTGAACCAGGGTCGGCGACAACGTGGCTCACTATGGCGGAACAGGCACAGGCAAAGAAGAGCATTAGGGGCATGGAGTGTGGGGACATGCAAGCGCTGAATAAGAAGCTAGGCCCACAGGCTTAAGAAGGATGACTGGGGCGGTGGTGAACTGCGGAGGAGGTGGTTGGAGAAGGGCAGAGCGGCAAAAGTGGTGGTTGGGGCAGTGTCGGTCAGCGGATCTGGTGGTACTGCAGCAGTGGATTTTGGCGATAGCAGTGACTCCGACCAAAAAAGGACAAGGAACCGTGTCCGGCTGTACTCGATGATCGTCATTGGAAAAACTAATTTTCTTTTTTTTAATTACACGCGCCTAAATGTATTTACATACTAGAATTTGAAAATCTCACAAACATCTGGGCCTGAAGCCCACAACTGGCACAATACACTTCCAAATAAACAAAACCACAATGTGCTCTACCACCCTCATTACTTAAGTTGAAACTTGTAGTCTAGAGCTAAAAAGTATCACGCTTCAGCATTGCTCTGTACCATCACAAAGACCACTCAAGTTGGAAAATGGGTATCGATGTGTCACTGTCATGTGGCCCCAGGTATCATTTCTCAGGTTTACATCTTTGAGATGGTACAAAACAATTTGTTTTCTAATTTCAAACATACCTCGAAACCAGAATACACTTGAGACCAAATCACTTGAAAGGACCAAGTCTTTCTTCATTATGACCAATTTTTCATCAATCTGTAGATATAGAATTGCATTTCTGCTGCACTGTATGTTGTGGACTAGCACCAAGGAGTATGAATTGAGGGAGATCAGGGATCTTTTAGGCAATAGAATTGTATTGGCAAAGATGGGATAAAGGAGTCTAATTTATCGGCAGTTCATACCGTGTTAGCAAATCATGTATCTCTGTTTGAGATAAGCAAGAAGAATCAATCCATTCTCTCCGAATTATTCTATCATCTCAACCCTATGCCCTATTTCTCCAACCCACCACATCTGGTTCTCTCTCTTCAGCATGGCAGTTATCCATTGTGATCAAGGTTAATGGTACAGAGATTAGACTGTTGTTAACAAGTGTATGCAAGTTTTCTGCAAACCCTTTAGAAATAGATAAGACAGCACCAAAGAATTTTAAATATTACACCCTTCGTTCACAAATATAAGATGCTCTGGATATTTCAGTATGGTCTACATACGGACTGAAATGAGTGAACAAACACACTAAAACGTGTCTATATACATCCGATTCAGAAAAAAGTTGGAACATCTTATATTTGTGAACGGAGGGAGTATTATTTTAGAGTCAGTAGCCATTGTTGATAGCTATAGAATTATATTGTATGACTAAAAATTTATGTTTCACATAAAAAAAGTGAATACTGTGTGGAATTGAGAAGGGTAGGTACATGTCTCACATCCGTCTTGCAAAACAAACTATCTCCACAAGTACATCAAAAGGTTTCTTAGACGTCAAAATTATAACGCAACAATTACTTTTTTAACATGGTTTGTTCAGTCCTCGGATATTCTAATGAAAGTTATAGGCAGTGTCTACTAAAATCACAAATCACAAAACAGAGAAAAACAAGACATTCTCACAAAAAAGCAAAAGATGACCCTCTTTTAATTAGCAAAGTATGACCGGTCTATTTTTGTAATTGTACCTATACATCATCCAACCATTGTCAAATCCATATTCTGGTTAATCATAAACATTATATCCTCGTGATGGGAAAAAAATGCAATCCTTCTGTCATCATCGAATGCACGGCCACCAATCTGCTATCACATGTGCATGCATCCATCCAGTTGCATGCCCACTGTGATTGGGAACACAAGACCAGGCATCCAGCTCCCTTGTGTACCAGGCCTTGTGAGGAGGACACAGTACTAGCCACACTCGTGTTTTCCAGGCTTAGCAGATAAATAAGCATGCAATGAGCGATCCAGGTAGCAGCGCAACTGCGAATGTAGCAAGTCCAGCTCTCGATCCTATCGTGAGCACAACTGGACAGGTAATCCAGAGTAGAGCAGGAATTATGTGTGAGACGGAGAGAGAACTTATCAAATACTCTGAGGCTTGGAGTACCTCCGTTGCACCGGCACATGTTCGCATGCCTAAAGGTCATTAAAAATTACAAAAAAAAAGACCACAACCAAACAATACATGCATCTGTCACAGTTTTTAAGTGGTCCTCATATCATCGATATGGTTGTGGTGCCCCTCCAGTCCAAGCCATTTTGTCGTCATGATATGGAGCATGAACCTTCTCCTGTCCTATGGAAAGAAGACCATACTGGAGCATGAGAGGGCAAACAAACAAGGGGTGCGGGAGGGGAAAAGCAGGCATGAACCTTCTCCCGTCCCATGGAAAGAGAGAGAGAGAGAGAGTACCGTGCAGACAAAGAAGGGATGGACCTAATGAGAAGAAAGAGAGGCGGCACACCTGGGAGCAGGAATGAGATTAACGTAGACATGATGCAACCTAGATTTTCTTAACTCATAGCTAAAGGCAATTTGGGCGGTAGAACCATGTTTGAGGGAAACTATGAGTTATTCTACAATGGTATATAATTATATATATATATATATATATAAGCGATACTGCAAATTTAGCCACAGCCGCACTATCAATTATGTGTGCAGGAAGAGAAAATGCATATAGGCATCGCTTACTTTGTAATAAGAATAAAAAATGCTGTGTACGCATATGAAAATAGATAGTACACTGAGTGCATATAATACAAACAATCTAAAAAGAGAATATTTATTTAGTTGTGAAAATTTAGACTACATACATTGATACACGTTTAGGATCAACCAATAATACAATATCAGTTGAGGTGAGTAATTCCTAGATTCTTTTTTAGTTCATTATAGATCAACAGTATTTTGTATGAATCAATACTAGAACTAATGAAAACTTAGGTATACTTGCAATATCTCTTATTGCATGGCAAATTTTAACATGCTCCCTCTTACCCCCTCTTTTTACATGTGAGGTAAGAAGGTAAGAAATAAGCAGACCACTAATTAATAAGATCACGGATCAGATCTATTATATACTCTTGCCTCTCATGTGAAAAGAGAGGGTAAGAGGGAGCATGTTAAAACTGCTCTGCATGCATAGCTTCGACGAGGAGAGTGGTTGACATAAAATCTTGAAAACAGAATTTTAGCTGGCTGTATGTGAAAATTGAAACCAAGTATACTATACACTTAAGGATCAATCAATAGTGTACAATCAATTAAAGTAGCGATTCGACCCTTATACATTGTTGGAGAGAAATAACTCTTTACCATCAACTAAAGCTTTAACGCCTAATTGTAACTTGCCTAAATCAAAGGATGTGCATACATACTATGATGCACTTATATAAACTCTAATGCAGTTTGTATAATACTTTATTCTGCTTGGCATGTTAGAATTTACCTGTCTAAATTTATTGGATTCTCTAGGATTATTTATAGAAAAGAAAACACTATTGGTAGAATGGTAGTTATAATAACTACGAGAAGAGAATATCTTAATGATATGCCATAAAGCATGAACTAACATCCGTGCTATGAAAACTGAAATAGGAATGAGGAAGAGAAACATACTGTGATGTAAGTGAAGACGATTGCCATTTATAATGGCTCTATGAATATGAATATGTTTGCTACTGAAACATGCCTATTGACTAGTAATCTTTAGAATGGAAATAGTTATGAAGCCCAGCATATTGCCAATTCAAAAGGAGGCATAGTCATATGAATGTGGTGTTTGTAGGGAGATGCCTTGGATATGACGAATACCACAAATCTAAATAACACAAAAAAAAGTACAGAACAAAGGAAAAGTTCTTGACAAAGATCTTTCTTTTATAGCATTAGATAGGAATGAATGTTCATTATAGGGGCTAGGATCCAAAAACTAATTCTGCAAAAAAAGATACTGCGTATGGAATCAAATTAATATTGAGTAGTTGATGGGGAACTTACAAAATCATTGGACATGAAGCACAATCCTGCAATACAATCAAGTCCTCATGTGAGTAAGCAATGTCAGTTACGTACAGCGTTACATAAAACAAAAGCATGCTAAACCTTAAAGCAATTTAGTTGTTTAAAAAAGAGATGCAATAGTTGATGTGAATGCTATAATATATGCATATTTATGCCCAGATAATCAGTATATTTCAATCAAAAGGAGGGTCAAAACTACATTCCCCCTGAACTGTTCTTGAACAAAACATTCAACATGTATGACACTTAAATCTCACAGATAACACCCAATTCACAAAGCAGAGAAGGTAATGCATATAACGAACCGGTCAGGTAGTCTTCAACGTCCAGGCCAAACTCTCCAGAACCCACTGCAAAAGGCCAGGAGCACAACATATTTAATTTCGTAAGCAAGCACACTGGCATTGTATGCTACTTACAAGACAACTAATGCAATAGTTGGCAGAGCCTTCACGTACATCCTAGCTTTTCCTGGGCCTCGGCGTGCGTGAGCAGGCCACCATTCTCGAGCCAGTGCGTGAACGCTAGCATCGACACCACAGACTGTGTCTCACTCTTCCAGTCCCCATGCTACCTAATAAGCAACAAATCCCAATAGATGAGCAATTTCCACATAGCCCAACCTCGGTAACATGGAAAAGGCGCGTAGTTAAGCCATCTCATCACCTGTAGTACTGATCGGGGCACTCTTTGAGGATCTCCGCGAGCTGAGAGTACAGCCCCTTGATCACCTCCACCTGCGCCTTCGCCTTGCCGAGCACATCTGCACGAGGAGAGGAGATAGCTCAGGATTGAGCACTGGGAGCCAAAACCCGAACAGAAATGGAAGGAGGAAAAGGGGGCAGCAACCAGATAGGGGGACGGGCTGGTGGATGAGGAGGAGCGCAGCGGAGGCGGCCCGGGAGGCTGACTCGACCTCGGAGACGACGGCGCGGATGCGGTCGCGGAGGGTGGAGGAGCCATCGAGCTGCGCCCGGAAGGACTCGAACTGCGCGTCCATGAAGGCAGGCAACGGCAGCGGCTGGGAGTCGAAGGAAGCGGCGCAAGGAGGGGCGACCGGGGACGAGGAGGAGGAGAGGCGGTGGAGGGGGAGGAAGAAGACACGGCGGGGAGGGATGAGGCGGAAGGCGGCAGCGGGAGGGGCGAGGAACGCGGCTCGGAGCGCGGCGGCGGAGGCTGCTACCGCTGTTGCTGCGGGTCTCATCGCGGAGCAATGGCGTTTTGGGGAAGATTTTAGGGAACTGGGGGGGCCGCCGGGAGGAGCAGGACATGTGTCTCCAGCCCAGGCACGAAAACGTATCTTAGACCAGGCCGTGCAGGGCCTCAAACTTTCTTTTCTTTTTCTTTTCCAAATGGCCTCAGACTTGAAGCATAAGTGCACAGGGCCTAGGGCCTGTTTTGGTAGATGACTAATTTGTTTTTTACGGGGATTTTATTTTTTGAAGGAAGGTTATTATGGCTAGTTTTATTGAAATCAAAAAAGCATTACATCATTCATGAGTTTAGTGACCAGACAATCCGAAGGTTCGTCTGTCCAACTAAGCAAAATCTTATTACAGAAGCTATAATTGGCTAACATATGTGATATCTGATTAGCAGAACAGTAATTAGGTGTCGTTCCCAAATAAAGTAGCTATATCGACACACTCAGTAAAGATTGCAGAAGCAACATCCCGCCATCTTGTCTCTCCAGTGCAAAACTCAAACACATTAAGTGAGTCAGATTCAACTTTAATTCGAGAAAACCCTAGTTGGTTTGTGAAGTTTCAGCCATCCATGAAAATAACATCTGCAACATGGGGAATGTAAGTGCACCTTACTGCAAGAAACACACATTTTTCATCCCTCAAAAACTATGATATTGCACCACCTCCCTCATCCTCGAAATAGGTTGCATCAACATTAAGTTTGATATGTTTGGGTTCTGACTTGGTCCATCTTTGCTCTTTGTTGGGTGTAGTACTGAGAGTCGACCGTATGAAAATTATTAGCAATTGCTAGTACTGACATCGGCCATCGCATGATTGGTGAATAGAGCTCATTGTGGTGATCTGGCGTCGTATCCACCGAAGATATCAACAGCCCACCATAGGCACCTGCCTACGATCAAGACTTGTTTTAATAAGTAGTGAAACCGCTAGCTAGAGCAACAAGTGTTCCATGATTATTAACCCCGAGCGATTAACTTGCATCGCCTCTTCTATGATGTCCATCATACCCAGCTTATTTTGCAACTCCTTAGCCTGCATGCAATCTAATAATAAGTGGCTGGCATCTTCAGTTCCTTGATGACATATGGGGCATGCATCATCAGATCCGATGTGCATGTTTATCAATATGGACTTTAGGAGTGATATTCCATGGAGAATTCACCATCTAAAGATCTGAAATTTACGTGGGATTTTTAGTTTTCAAAGAGCACTCCACACAGCGGGTGATCTAGAGCTACCCTTCTGCACAAATCAGGAATAGGTAATGGGAGAAACGGTCCCTTGCCTAATGTCCCTAGTTTGATTAATAGTGTTTGTTTCTTGAGAATTAAATATCACCATGTATCTTACCGAACAGACACATTCCACAACCGTCTCAACACACTGCTCATGGAACCCTAACTTAATCATTATGTCTTTCAGAAAAGTTCCATTCAACCCTGTCATAAGCTTTGTGAATATCTAGATTTACTACATAAAGGTCGAATTGTCCTGCCCTTTTATTCTTAATCTTGTGTACACACTCATAAGCAGTAAAAATATTATTTGAGATCAATGTACCCAGGGCAAAGGCGCTTTGAGTTCATGAGATAATACTAGGGAGGATATTTTCAGACAAAAAAGACACCATATTTTGAGATGATTTTATATAAAACATTGTGTAAGCTTATTGGATGAAATCGTGTTACTCATTCCGGGGTATCTATATTCGGGTATATGACGAGGTGAGCGATTTATTGGGCCGGCCTGTTTTGCGTTTCAACACATCCTGATTCTGGGAACCTTCAAGAAGGTTCCTGACTGGTTCAGGTCTGGTTATTTTTGTTTAGTTTTGTCATGTTTCTTTATGGTTTTCTTCGTTTTTTCTTTTATTTTTTCTCTTTTTGTTTTTTTGTCTTTAGTTTCTTTTATCTTTATCTTTACTTCTTATTTTACATTTTTATAAAATCAAATTTCTCAAAATTTTAAATTTATTCCCTTCTTTTCAAAACATGATTGGGAATTTCAAATTGTGTTCGCATTTTAAAAAATTGGGAATTCTGAAAATTGTTAATTTTTTCGAAAAATATTCATGAATTTTAAATTATGTTCATGTTACTAAAAAAATTGGAATTTTAAAATTGTTCACTTTTTTCCAAGAAATGTTCATTTTTTGATTTATTTAAGGTTAAAATTTCAAATAATTATTCCTTCTTTAAAAACATTAAAATTTTCCTTTTTAAAAAAAAATAGTTCAGATTTTCAAAAAAATTGAAATAGTTCAAAAGAATTGGAATTTAAAAAGAAAATCATGTTTAAAAATTTTGTTCTTATTTTTCAAAAAATGTTCACAAATTTTCATCACTGCTTGTAATTCTATATTTTGTTCGTGTAACTCAAAAAGTATTTGGAATTTGAAAAAAGAATCACATTTTCCAAAAAAATATGTTCATGTTTTATAAAATGTGTTCAAAAAATTGAAAAAAATGTACACTATAGTAAGTATGATGTTGCAGTGAATATCCCATTATAGTGCATTATAAATACAGTTCACGCTGTCATCTGTCGTCGGCAGCCATAAGGTGTACTGCTCCTGCATTATATGAAACTTAGTTCCATTCCTCAAAAAGAAATAGTTTGTATGTAATGGAATCAAAATTGGATTAGAGCATCACAAAACATCATACTAACAAGAGAGGCAGTTGTATGATGCATAAAATGGAGATGAAGGGAGACCTCATCATCACCATGGCCCAACATCTGGTGAGGTTGATTTATCCTTCAACCACTATAAGAGAAAAAATAAAATAAGGGACCATCATAATTTAAACTACAACTAAATGAACCGACACATGTTTAGGCACGTATCTAGCAGTGATTCTTACATGGAAAGGTCACACCGAATAAATTAGTGAGAAGCGAAATGAGATTGGACTGGATGAAGAGTGAAAGGTAGCAACTCACACGACATGTGGAGAATAAAAAGGGGGGCGGGTGAGGGTACTAGAAGCATTCGCATGAAGAGTTAGTGGGAGCACGTGCATGAAGTGTTAGTGGGAAGTGCTTTTACATGGTGAAGCTACTTGATGATGTGTATAGACTACATGTCAAGATAAATAAGATACTAGGGATGGATCTCTTAGATGTATATGATATATGATATATGATGACTAGTGGAACCGTTGGGTGGTATTATTTATTTTTCCTCCATAATACCTTTTTCTACTGCATTTTTATATGGGACATTTACATTTACCCCCTAACTTTGCCCCGACCTCATCTTTACCCTAAAAACGGTGCTCAACTGTACCCCTCTTCCGTCTATGATGCTTATAGAAATACCCCTTCGTTCCCTTTCTGTCTGGTCAAAGTGCTTTGACCGCATTAGTCCGTTATTTTGGACATCGCTGCCCCTCAGTCTTACATGTGGGGCCTACACGCATCTCTCCAACCCCATCTCCTCTCTCTTTTATTATGTTCTCTCTCGCGACAAACTCTAATCCTAGCTCATCGATTTCCCCTATCCCATTGGTTGTTGACTGTGCATCAACTTTTATCAAGTTTAGAAGTGCTATCTCAGAGAAATATCCATGGGGGTTATATGATGCTATTGAAATTAGGTATTGGGACATGAAAAATATTGCTTGGGTGCATGTCCAGTGTGATGATGAGCTAGCTATCATGTTTGGAATATATGTAGAAAGTAAGTCAATAGAAATTGAAATCACACTACTGCATGATGTTGTTAACGCGACACTATAATCAGAGACCCTTTGATGAAACTGTGTGCGATGCATTAATCGTAAACGGTGATGTAAAAAACCGTCAAAAAGATGCAAAATGTTTGTGATGAATGATACATCAAACACAGTTTAGATTTTAGTTGCGTGTGCGATGAGGGGCATACGGCTGATCTGTACGAACTGTTTGTGATGAGACAGAACAACAGAAACGGACAGCCAGATCAAGGTGTGTGCGATATACGGCATATAGTTCACTCCGATGAACCGTTTGCGATGAGTGAGGTGAACACAAACGATTCCGCGTAACAAGATGTGTGTGATACCCGACAAACAGGTCGGTAATCAGAATTGTGTGCGATCATTATAGACAGCCCATACGGTCTTTTTTGTGAATTGTGTGCTCGTCAGGGCACACAGTTCAACAAACCAACCTATTGGCGATAATGTAGAAGATCTCTGTCGAATACATATTACTAACCGTCTGCGATGAGATTGACAGGATAAACAGAGATATATACAGTCTGCTTAATTTAGTCCTTCTTCTTCTTGTTGTTCTTGTTGGATGGCCCCGCGACATCATCTTGGCGAGGACGCTTCTTGCCGCTGACTATTGGCGTTTCATCGCCGCCGCCGTCATCATCGTCGTTGCTGTCGTCGTCGTCGTCCTCGTTTGACCATTCCTCCTTATCATCATCGTCGTCCTCTTCTTCGTCCTTCGACGGCTCCTCGTCCGTCTGGTTGTCGTCTGACGACTCCGGAGGCGGCGTCCCTTCCATGAACCGAATATAATTGAGGTCTGGGCTCAATGTCGTACTCATGGAAGACGAGCGGGATGATTCTAATGTTGACCTATCATCGGGCGCCAGACTGCTGGCCGAACTGTCGTCCTCGCTGTCGCTCGACATGGCTGCAGAGTGTGTGCCAGTGTGTAGCGCGACCTGCCGGGGACGATGATGATGGTGGACACTTAAGCGGGGTATGCAGAGAAGAGGAACTGTCAATTGAAGCGGGGATTGAAGCGGGGGTTGACGTATTAGCTAACCGCTGATATAATCAACCACAATTATTTGTACCAAGTCGCTCCAAATTCTCGGGGTAGCGCAGGACCCCTATTGGCTATTTGGCTGGTTTCCTTTTTCAGGATAAAAACAAGGAACGAGTTTTGGGATTATGCACCGGTATCGGTACGAACGGAGTAGGACAGTTGGCAAGCAATACATTGAGCTCTTCTTATTGATAAAGCCAGTAATAGTCAAACTAGAAAGGAAAAG